AAATTTTAGGTGTAGAATTTGTATCTTTAATGATATATCTTGGTTCTTAGCTTTTTCCCCATTCCCCTGTTCTCCCTTCAACCCTTCCACCCCTCCCTATTTTCAAACACTTTGTTTCTATTTTTTCCTTTTCTCATATTTTTTTCCTTTCCCTTCTTTTCTTTCCCCTATCCCTCCCACTTCCTCCTCCCCTATTTCTTCATGCATTCTACATACTTGTTAGGATGAATATTCCAGACTGGTGTGTTATGGCTTATATCTAGATAGTTGTGTCCAGATGGTATCTAGATGGCTTGTGTCTAACTTCATGTGCTCATAGGGGGGGCCTTTTGGAGGTGGTTGGATCTAGAGTGTGTGATGCTGGGATTTAAATGGTGTGTGATTACTAAATTAGTCCATGGCTTGGTTTAGCACAGTTCTGGTTATGAATGATGGGAAGGCCCACCCTGAGTGTGGAATATAAGGGACAGAAAGAAGGCTGCTGTTGTTGCTGCTTCTTCACTGCTTCACTACTTTGCTCTCTTCTGCCTGCCACAAACTGTTTCTCCTCTGTGATTGCCCACTGCCATGCCACCCTGCTTGGAGACAGCTGGCTATGAACTGAAAGCCCTACAAACTGTGAGCTAAGATAAACCTTTCCTCTTTAACTTCAGATGTAGGGCATTTTATTTCAGCAAGGAGAAAAGTAACTAAGGTAGCTTGGAAGCGCTGCTGCTGCTTCTAGTTGGCCATGGGCCTGCTGCCCTGAGATGGGTATTTTGAGGGAGGAGGAGAGAGAACCCAGAATGTAGCTGGAGCCCTTTTAACACATAGGCTCTTAAGGACTACTGGTTTTCCTGGAAATTTGGCCTCTGGGTCATGATCTGGCCTTTGGCTATGAGGAAAATAAAAAAGGGAGACTGAGACAGAGACCTGATATGAGAAATATCGGGAAATGCCTCTCCCCACTATTGCCGTGGACATGAGGTTAGGACTAGATGAGACAGCATTCTTATGAGCTATCCACTACTTTTATTGGCCAAGGTCTGTGCTACTCTTGGGAAGATCTAAAGTTGAATCATATATTATCACCTGTGATTTCAGGCTTTGTCATTCTAGCTGGAGCAAATGACAAACAAACATAAATGTATGTAAAAAGCCACAAGTCTGTTGTGTTCTACCCATGCTGTGCAAAAGGTTTGGAAGTTCAGTGACCTGGATAGCTTTATGGATATGTGGAAGTCTGCATTTGAGATGTGGGTTTTGAGCAGGCACTCTCTGTGGAGGACTTGACAGAGCCTGTACTTTCTGGAGTGGGGAGCAGTTAGTAAGAGTTCTGGTTAGCATGGGTTCTAAACCTGGCAAGGTGATGCGGGCTCAGTGGACACCTGATTTGGGAGTTGGCATAATACGGCATTTGACTTTTTGCTGAATTATTTCAGGAGTTACTTTAGTATCCTGCAGATTTGTTTCCTAGCACCTGCTTTCCCTTCACACATCTAGTTAGGACTAGATGAGACAATCTATATTTGTGATTTGCTAATACTTAGACCAGTCAGCAGGTTTTCACTTGACTTACTTATACCTCTAATTATCCTTTGCAAGAGCTGAATTGCTGTGGTTTTTACCACATGTACTAAGAAGCAATGATTTCTTAGTGATAGCTTGAGAAAAAGTTTCAAGGGCATTTCAAAGTGAAGTAAGTTTTCTCATGGATGAGAATCATAAATTAAAGTTGGAGTTCTTAAAAGTCTTCCAGATGAACCTTCTTATTTCACAGGGCAAGAAAAGTCTCAGTATAAGAAGCATGTATATCCAAGAGTCCGTACCGAGTGCTCAAAGCTCCTGACTTTAAATACAGTTGGTGTTTTTTTGAATGGTACCATTAAAGGAGGGTAGCATAGTTGACATTTTAGAAGTTGGGCAACTTGAAGTTCCATCTTGATTCTCAGTACTTGCCTGTTGACTTCCAGGAAGCTGTTAAGCCTCAGTTTGCCCAGATATAAAGAAGCCAAGTGGAAAAACACAGTAACATCATGCATGGAACAAGAAAAGGATGTGTAGTCCCTGTGTATCCTATTGTATCCAGAGCAGCCTGATGTGTAGGAAGTCCTTTCTATAAGGTCTTCTAGCTCATGGTGGCCCTTTTCCCATTATGTCCTAACAACCTGACTTGCAAGCCTAGTAGCTTTGGGATAAAGAAATAGGTGAGTTCCCAAGATGTGTCATGATGGGCAATAAGACCATGGCTTGAGTGATATTCTCACTGTTTTCAGCCAGCTGATGGATGATGGGACCAGAAGGGTGATATATAAGAACCTACTTGCGAAGGGGCCAATGGGCTCATTGGTAGAGGCACTTATTAAGACACATGCTGAGGTTCCATTTTTAACATGGCAGCGATCTTTTAAATCACTTTCCCTGGACACCATGCAGGGGGCAGGCTTATGGCATAATTGTGAATAGCCAAGGCAACTCAACTTCTGCCAAACTGCATTCTTTTTATAGGCTTCTGTTCCTTACTCTTTAAAGGCCGGGGGGCTTGGCTAGAGCACTGCGAAGGTTATATTGCCCAGAGCTCTTGTATTCCCAGCCAGTTTGTTATAAATGGGGAAACAAACACATCTTCTTACACATTTGTATCTTGCATGCAGTAAAAGGATAAATGCCTGTGTGTGTGTGTGTGTGTGTGTGTGTGTGTGTGTGTGTGTGTGTGTGTGTGTGTGTGTGTGTGTGTGTGTGTGTGTGTGTGTGTGTGCATGTGTATGTGCGTGTGAGAAAAAAAGTGGAACATTTAAAGGCAAGATGATGGGCTCAGCAGCAAAAGTTGGTGGGCCTTCAGAATTCATTTCTGAATTCTGTGGAAGAGAAGCTGAGTGTCACTTTTTAGTGGTCCAGTCCATCTTTCAGCCTCAGGCTGTCATTCTACACACAGGGTGATGTCAGAGGTTCTGGAAGGACCCACAGTCAGGCAGCTCTACCCTAATTAACTCACCACGTGGGCTGAAACTATAATTTGTCTACTGGATTTAATCTTATAATTTTCAAATATCCAAACAGCTATGGAGAAGATTGCAGGTTTAGTTCACCTCTGATTGATGAGATGGTTGAAGACCCTTGACTGAGGGGTATCAAGAGACCCCCGTTCCAGGCCTAGCTACCTCCACATTACTAAGTTACTCTGGGCACATGTATGTATCTCTCACTTGAATCTCATCATCTGCATGAAACAGTGAAATTTTATATGCAGGAATATCTTTCAGTTGATCCCGTAGAAACAGATGAGGTTCCAGGTTAGCTGGAGAAGGAAGGGCTCTTGACCCTTTACAAAATATTTTCCTCAAACTTGAGTCCAGTATCTGGTTGGCTAACCTCCCTTTTCTGTGCTGGGGCTCAGAGCCAGGTCTGGGTATCTGACTGTGTCACAGCTGGTCTCAGTCCCTGGGTGCCTGGGCTGACCTTTCTTCAGGCTGACCCATGACAGGTGGGCCTATCTTACAGAAGACTGTGAGTCAAGGAGAGACAGTGACAGTCCACATATCAACAGAAGAGGGATTTTGAGGCAGTGACTTGCTTCGGAGAAACACCACAGACTTGGCTCTGTGCTTTATACACATAGAAAACAACTGTGTTTGGGGTAGGTGGAAGTATTGATGGACATTAAAGAAATGAAAACTCCCTTTTACCCACTCATTAGCATACCTTAGGGCCTGTATGAGGGAAAGCTGTGTACTAGCCCTGGCTTCCCTTCGGAGCATTGGAAATAGTGGCTAGCGAGGTGTCTTGTTAGGCATTTGCAGCTCCTTAATATCTAGTGATTTTAAAAAGCCAACTGTAATGGTTCATTTTGAGTGTTAACTTGCTTGGCTTGAGAGATGCCTAGGTTAGTAAAGCACACTTGTGGATATGCCTGGGTGGGTTATGGGGCTGTGACTTTTGGGACCATATCGAGTCTGGTACTCCTTCCTCTTTGGCTCCTTGTCTCGCTGCTTCTTGGTTGCCATGAGGTGAGCAGCATTTCATCACCATGCCCTTTTGTCATGATGTTCCTGTCTTAGAGCCAGCTAACCATGGACTAAAACCTCTGAAACTGTAAGCCAGAACAAATACATGTATGTATGTATATATATATATATATATACATACATACATACATATATACATACTGTTGTGTATGGCAGGTGTTTTGTCCCAACAATGAAAGTCTAATACAGTACCTTTGTGCCACCAAAGGCTTAGTGGGGGGTTCATTATCTTTCCAGATAGTGGGGCCCCCCTCCTACCTTCACTTAGTTCCAATAATACCAGCCTCACATACGATTTTTCTTTAGCATCAACAGTGACAGTAGTGTTGAGTGCTGTCATATGTCAAGCACTAGGAACACAGTAGGGGACAAGGTTCCAGGGGCCTCCTTCATGGAACTTTCCACTTTGTTCACGTGTGTGTGTGTGTGTGTGTGTGTGTGTGTGTGTGTCAGATACCCACAGAAATGGTCAATCCTAGGCCTTGGATGCACCAGAGGGCCGCTCCTACATTGTTACTAGACTTTCCAAAGAGCTTCCAAAATAATGAGGGCAAACCTTTTAGAGACAAATGCCCAAACTGCAACCCCAAACCCACTTATTTATTGCAAGGTGTCAACACTGTAATTAAACCTGAATACCGAGGTTTTAGTTTAGAAAAAATAACTCATACATTAACATCTTGTGTCTTAAAAACAGGAAGAAAAGGGCTAAAGGGGAAGTGGGGGAAGGGTAGGGAAAAGGAAATAAGAAAAAATATGAGGAAACAAAACAAAAACAACACATGTGGCATAGGTTCACCATCACTTCTATAAGAGAGGGATCAGGTTCCCACAGGCCTTATTACATTGCCAGGTATCTATTAGGAATTGAACTAAACTTCATTGGATAAATGGATGGTTAAATGAATACAAAGGATGAATGGGTGTGTAGATGGATCAAAGAGTAATCAGAACTAGTAACAATGATATAAAGAAACAATAACTTCCAGTTGGCAGGCAACTATGGAAACCATGTTTATTTTTTTCTTCTAAAAAATATCCAGTCAGTAAGAGCTCACATATGTATAAAAATGTGCTAAGTACAATCATTAGAATTGTGTTATAGAGGAACAGTTGTTACAGCTTTTCCCTCCAAGTAAGATGGCACAGTGGATGGTCACAGTTGGTTTGGTTTACAAAGAGTGGCAAGAGTAGGTGACCAGTTGGCCCAATTTCCCAGGATGTAGAACTTTGTAAAATTGGAAAGGTCCTAGGCAAAATGGGATGTCTGGTTATGAAAGAAAATGAGCAGCATCAGAACACTGGGTACAGTTTGGCATTTAGGTAGAGGCTGCAAACATTTTTACACTTCCCCATCATCTCTTTTCTCCTTATTTCTGAAGCAGAAATACCTTGTGTTATTACAGAGTGTTACTGCATTCAGAATCTCATCAGTGGATTTTATGTAATTCAAACTGGATGTGTATGTCACACTTGGAGGTAGGGTAATTCTAACCTAATCTGCATGTGTGGCATCCTACTTCAAGGCTTCTGGATCTCAGAGAATACAGGGCAAGAGCAAAGACTCAAATTCATATCTCCTGAGGTCACTGTTCTGTTCTTGAACACGTCCTACCTGGCTCTCTAGTAGTAGCGGGCAGGAATTACATGGGGAAAGGAAGACCCTGAGGGCCAAGTTTTGACTGATTTATTCACTTGGAACAATTAAGGTGATTACTGCTTTTCCTAGCATGTTTCTCTCTCCCCCTGTATCTGTCTTCAGGTAGAATGCACAGGGTCCCCACTGCTGGTTGGTGCTGGCATCATTAGATGGCAGAGGCAGTGAGGGAGACAGAATATATGGGCTTTAGCATGATGTTCCAAATGGCTAAATCTGGATTTTGCAGGGAGTAGTCAGATGGCTAGCTCAGCCTGCCACTGGCCACCTTGGCTGTTGAGCTCAGTTTGGGCATCTTTGCTGGTCTCTTTACTCAAATGAAGCAAAATTCATGGCTGGTGGCTATTACTCATAGGCTCAAATATTTGTCACACTTTCTGTCCAACTTATAGGCACTAGTGTAAGGCGAAAAGGGTTTGATAACTCCCTGATTTAAAAAGATTAGGAATAGTTTTCCACTACCCACCACAGACCTCCTTTCTTTGACACTCCATTAGAATTTTATATGTTGTCATCCTTTTATTTGAAACTGTTTTGAGCTCTTATACATTTTTGGCAAGATAAGGATACAAAGTTTATGTAGTCCTTCTTTTTCCCTTATGAAATAAGAGTTCTTACGAGTTTCCTTAATGTAACTAAAGCATTGGCCAGGGTCGTCAGGTGGAGAGACTGTATTTTTGTATGAGCTAAAGGAGTATGGGTTTTACAGTTGCCCTACCCGTTACGATGTCATTGTTGGGGCTGAGTTGCTCTTATCATATGAATCTATTCTGTGTTTGTGCTCCCATCTCCAGAACTTTGAGTTTTTCCCGTTCTGTGAGCTGAATGAGGATGGGTAGCTTTATTTTAAAATAAATAAATAGCTTTAAGGAAAGAATGCTTATACACTCTTGGATGATTCCTTGTATGGTGAGGCCTAGGGTTCAAATCTAGTTTTCATATGGTGATGTGGTTTTTCTTTGGCTTAGAGACACAAAAAGCAGATCCAACTCTCTGTGATGGGATGGCTGTCGAGCCTGACTCAGCTACTGTTACAGCGTCTTCTGAAACTCGAGTTCCCCACACTGAAGGGTGAAGTGATGGTTTGACAAGTGCAGCAACGTCCTGAGATACCGCCCGGGTTGATGCACTTCCGGGAATCTCACCGCCAGTTCCGTTGTGTTGCTGGCTTTAGTTATCTAGAAAGCTATGAGAATGTGTTTGGGCTAAAAAATTTACAAATTCGATACAACAGAAACAGTCTCCTTAGAAAAACTCTGTTTGTAAGATGTGCTGCCTGGCAGCCAAAGAAAAACTGAAGGTCAACTGGTTTTTCAGTCTTTTTTTCTTCCTTCCTTTCTTTCTTTTTGTCTTTTTTAGAGAAAAAAATACTTGGACCCAGTATTTCCTATTAGGAAATCAAGTCTGATAGAGAGAAAAGAATATGACTGGAAAATTCTTTCCTCTATAAGAGGGAGGGTCCTGGGTGATCTGCGTCAGTGATTGACTGGCCTTTTCTGAGTTTATGCAGATTGCTGCAGCCTCTCATATGGTCAGTGAGCTCTGGGACCGGCGATGGCTGCCTCTGTTCAAGGGCCGGGGAGCATCATTCTGACCCCTTGAGAAGGGCTCAGGAGCCAGTGCCCTGTTGGGCTCCAGGAGGTGCTGCCCAGAGGAGAGTTTAGCTGAAGGGCCCCTCGAGCTGGGATCCTCCCCCAGGCATTCTCTGCTGCCTCTCTTTCCATGGAGCATCCAATCTTCCTTGTGTTTCCGCTTGGGAGGGCTGGAGCTCTTTGGGGCGCTGGTTCTCAAGTCCTGCTGTGACGCAGGTGGTGCTGGGTGGTGGGCAGGCTGAGGTGCCTCAGCTACCGGGATGGTCCTCTGCTTGCTCCTCCAACTCTGAATTTCCTGGTTTCTTTTCTCCACGGGCAGTTTGTCAATTTTTGCGGCTTTTGAGATCAGAGACTTCCCGTAAGTCCCTTGTACAGATAGGAAAAAGTACCTGATGGAAAATAAAAGGATAAAGATATTTTCTTTTTTGTTGACTCCTTGAATTTCAGCCTTTAAAGGGGTCTTAAACTCCAAGATCTGATGTTTTACACTTCTGAGTGATGGCTAGCAAATCTCAGCCTGGGGCCTGTGCTGTTGAGGGGCATAAAAAAACAAAGTAGCTAATGCTTATTGAACATCAGGAGTATTATAAATCCTTTGTATAGTTAACTCATTCTTCTACAATTCATGTGGTTGGTAAGGTCACCGGTCATGTTTCCATCTAGATGGCTTACATATATGGCAGTGGCACTACAAGATTATATCACCTGGGGACATAGCCAGCTTGGTTTGTGGCAGTATCCTCAGTGGTGTTTGCACTATGATGAAGGTATTTAGTGATGCATTTCTTAGAATGTGCTCCTTTAATGGATACAAATATACATATACACCCTCATCTTTGTACAGATGCAGAAACGGAAGGCACTGGGCGATTCAGTGATTCGTCCAGAGTCACATAGAGGCAGCGCTGTGGTCAGAACAGAACACCCTGGGCCCAGAAACTTGTCTGGCACATCCCAGGAACTAGGTAACCCATTCTGTTTTGTATCTACTCTAGTTTTGGCAAGTTTAATTGCTTTGTAGTTTTAAAATAGTTCTTTTTCTAGACTCCACCTACCACCCTGACTTGAAGGTACCACTTCTTATCATGATTTTCTAGACAAGAAACTAAATGCTCAAGCGATGAGGCGGAGATTGCCGAGGATTCCTGAGAAGTAAGAGGTCTTTGCGTTGACTAAATCAGGACTCCTTTCCTCCCAAGCTGCTTGCAGTGGAGCCTGACAACGAGAGTCTCTATCTCCGTCTCTAGTCTTTTCCCTCTTGTACTTTCAGTCAGGGGAAAGTGTGATTAGAGGAATAAAGCTATGTGGCATATGGGAAGCATACATCCCACACAGCTTGTGGTGAAAGCAATACATAGGCCCTATCCCAGAGTCAGTTTCTTTGTCTAAAAAGTAGTCTATCCCAGAGGACATCTTTGGTCTTTTCCTAAGATCATCTTACATTAAAAAAAATTTTTTTTTCAAGGCTTATAAGCAGAAAAGCTTCTGTTATTCTTGGTTATCCTACAGTGGACAATGGATTTCCGAAGACTATAGTAGATTCCACAAAGTCAGATATACTGTTCGTCATTTGTTTGCTACCCTCTGTGCAGGGAGAGAAGAAAACAGTTGAAGGTATTGGTTCGATTAGGGGGCAATGAAAATGTGCTACTTGGCTAACTTTATTTTAAACATTTTTGAAATGTAACACACAATTTAAAAGGTGAGCAGTTCAATGGATCACTATAAACCAAACGTCAATGGGGCTACAACCTCAAACTGGAATGTACGTGCCCCAGGAGCACCCCCAGTTTTGGTCTCTTCCCTGATTCTGCTCATAATTTCCAGTAAGGTAACAAGAGAGTTGATGTTTTGCCTGGACATGAAATCTTACCCACAAGCCACCAACTTTTTCCTTTCTCTTCCATCGATTAACCCAACAAATACTTGTCAGGGTCTCACAATGGGCCCTGTGCCACAGGATTAAGTTTTGAACAGGACAGACAGTTCTTGCTTTCATGTAGTACACAGATATAGTTATAAATAGAAGAGTCCAGAGAGTGTCAAACTTCTTTTCTGGTGAATTTCCATGAGGAAGAAGCCTGTAAACTGAAGACTGAATTTGAGGCAGGATGTAGGCAGGCAAAGAGGCAAAAATCAAAATCCAGGCAAAATGGCCATAATATGGAGAGAGGGGAAATCTGATCCAGATAGGGCTGGGAGGAGCAGAAGAGGCAAATACTGAGGGCCATGTTTTGCTTTTTTTTTTATTTGGTACTGGGGATTGAACTCAGGTCCTTGTGCTTGCAAGGCAGGCACGGTGCCCACTAAGCTAACTCATGTTTTGATTTTTGCATTTTATTATAAAGGACCAGGAAGCCCTTAGGGGGTTATAAATAGGTGACATGACCACACTTTGATAAAACCGTAATAAATCATAATAGAAGACCCAATGGGAGAACAATGAATTAATTTGGGGTGAAAGGGACATAACCTTTCAATGGCGGTAACTACGGAAATGGAAGTAGCACATGCAACTGAGAAATTTTTTTTAGGTAGCATTTTCAGGTCTTGGTGCTATGCAAGTGATGGATAGGAGGCAGCAGAAGATGCATAGGGAAATGTCCATAAATCTGCCTTGGTCCTGAATTGGTAGCATTTGCTGAAAGGAAATCTGGATGAGGAACAGATTTTTGGGATGGTTGTGATGATGGAAGAAAGAATCAAAAATTAAATTATGGAAGTTTCCGAGTTTCCTCAGATTCCATATGCCCAGTGGACGTGACGAACAGGTAGTCAGAAAGGTATGTCTGAAATTCAGAAGAGAGGTCAAGGTTGGGAATTTGTAGTGAAGATTTATCCACTACAAATAATTTAAAAATCCATAATTGTGATTACCATGTTTGTGAAGTGAATATAAATTTAGAAGACAAGAGAACAGATCAAGGATGAATATATACCACATCAAGGACACAAATCAGCAAAGCAAAGAACAGAGAGGTAGAAAAAAACAAACAAACAAAAAAACCCAAGTAAGCGTGTGGGCCCACCAAGGCCACAGGAAGAGGGCCTAGGTATTGTTGCCCTCTACTTTAGCTAATAGGCTATTGGGTTTTGGGTTTTAAGGCTGATACATTATTTACTTTTGTTTTTTCTGTAAAATAATTTACATGCATCTGTGTTTCTAATTCAGGGGACTTTGTAATGTTTTTGTATACTGGTTGAATTAAGATCATGATTCAGGAAGTCACAGTTAGAAGACTAATTATCACAAGCTTGGTGAGTACAATCGATCTCCATTATGATAATGGAGCTTACAACTGAAGTGAACAAATACAGTTTTCTCCATCAAACATTCTATCACGTAGATCTCTATAAATAGGAATCGTTCCAAGTCATCAGTCCTTAAAACTGTTAAAAAAAAATCCTTTCACTGTGAGAGGCAATTTCTTTACCTTTCTTAGTGAATAGAATTGAATGAAAATTCAACTTTTATTATGACAATGCAGAATAAGCAAAGATTTAACCTATGCATTATGGTAACTACCAAGTATATATTTGCTAACTTTTCCATAATGCATCCCTCATCTGTTCAACAAGTTGTCACGTGGAGTGCTTGCCTTTCACTACACACATCGCAGAGTTCTTTGTGAACCTTCCAAGGATCTTCATTAAGCAGCTACTTCAGCTTGTAGACTCTGGCTCCCAATATGTTTTCTAGTAAGGCACAGATAAGAACTGTGGGGCTTATAAATTTCTTTTTCCATACCCCAACTAACATGGGAATAAAAGAGCTCAGTCCTTAGCTAGTGGTAATCACAATTTTGTTTTATCTCACAAGTGGGGAAAAAAATATTTACCTTCACATTCGATACCTTTTCCCAACTACCCAACTAGACCATTATCCTCCTGGCCACTCTCAGGGTTTTCCTCCCTAGCAGTATCACTGAAGAAGGAGTAGGGTGGGAAATATGCCCCGTGAGACTTCATTTATTCCCAGGCTACACTCTCATGTCTCTCCATTAATATCAGTCAATATCATGTGTGTTACGGGCACACTTATTCAAATCATCCATTGGATTATAGAATTCCTAAGGGCAAGGGTCCTATTTTATGAATCTTTTTTCAGCATCTGCTATTTCACCTCAGGGAAGACTATGTGACAGAAAGTATGCTAGATGATCCTTCCATGGAGATGAAGAACTCTTCTCTTCAGGAGCTGATGGAGAGAGATGGATGGACATTTTGTAGTCAGAGAGCAAAACTTGGGACAGAGATCCACTCAGGTGATGGGATATAAGAAGGAGAGACCTGTTTCAGCCTGAGGAAGGTAGGGGAAGCCACAAAACTTCTGGAAATGGTCACGCTTAACATAATGTCAAAGGGGGAAGAAGTCTGGTAACAGGAAGAGCATTACAAATAGGCCAGTGTGAGAGAAGGCAAGGAGGTGAGAGGGCCCACTAGGGTCATGGGGGGTACAAGAAGCATGGTGGTGTGGAACCAACAATTTGAAGCAAGGAGCAGGGAGATGAGGCTGCAGTGACCCTGCAGGAACTAAGCAAGGAGGCTGTACACATAGTAAATACTTAGACTTCAACTACTGCTCTTGGTGTTCACTGGGCATAATACTTTTTGTCATCTTGTGCTTTTAGATTCCAATTCCGCATCTGGGGTTGAGGTTGTGAGGTGACTTAGAAAGAGGAAATGGAGACCAACACAAGTTAAGCAAGCAGAGAAACTTATTCAAGGAAGCGAGGTGGTTGGGAATTTTCTGCCTACTTTTGAAAAGAGAAAGTTCTCTCCAAAGCTGGGATTGTCCACTGAATTGAGTATCCCTTTATAACAAGTGGCTGGATTTTAATGCTCAGAGTGACGAGACCCTGAGGATGGAGAACAAGCGACACTTGTCTATGAGTTCATCAATGTCAACCAAATTCACCAACTTTTGTAATTAGAGTGTTTTCTGGAGAAAAGAACAGGGGTCTCTGAGTCAGCAGACTGTAGCTTTCACCGTGATTCGTGCTGCACTGTGGACACATTTTCGTTCCTCTTGGAACTTCAGCTGTCTCATGAACAAGCAGGACTAGAACTGGAGTTGTATTTAGTTCTTAGCTGATGGGAAAAGACAATACCGTTTGAGGGCATACAGAAGAGTGTAGGTCAAGGGCATGTTCCCTGGAAAGGCAAGACATTATCGCTGCTATTGCTATACTTCTGGAAGAGGTGAAAACAAGGGTTTTAGGTCAGAAGTGCCAGAAGCAGTCTGTGGGCCACCGATTTATTTAGCTAACAAAGTTTTGTATGTTATGTGCATTTGGAACGCATGTAAATAATATTACAACCCAGAGACTTCATGTAAAATTTAAACACCTGGGAATATTCTGAAGTTCTGGAATGCTTTATTTGAGTTTTCCTTGGGGCAGTGATGGGAAGGATCTAAGGAGTTCTTTCTTTCATTGTCTGCCCTTCACTTGCATATTGAAATTGCTTGCCTGTCCCTGTAGGCATTTGGTGAGAGGCCCCATAGTAAATAAATAAAGGACCACAGAAGTTTTCAAAAGGCTTCCTTGTCACACAACAAAATTTATAAGCCAGAGAGGTATGAAATGTTACATCGATTTTATAGACAATGCAACGGAGGCCACGCCAGGACTGGGACTAGGGTCCATGTTCCTTTTTCCCTATTCACTGTTCTTTCTGTCCTAGCATCCTGTCTCTGCACAAAGAGCCTCAAGGATCCTGTCAAGAGTCAAATCATGACTCAGGTTATGAAAGCTGCTTATCACAGGGAGACCAGTAGTTCTAGTAAGGAATTAGCCACAGTGCTCAAACCTTGGGAGAAGAGCCACGACTGGTGTGAGGAGGCAGATGAGGTAGAAGGTGGGGTCCGAGAGCTGGTTTTCCATCACCCAGTATATGTTGCAGGTGACACAGAAGGCACTGTACAGTGCAGACACGACGAAATACATCAGGAAGCTGCCGAGGAGGACAAACCCATGGATAAAGGTCTGCGGAGGGAGAGAAGAAAACACAGTTGAAGGTATTGGTTCGATTAGGGGGCAATGAAAATGTGCTACTTGGCTAACTTTATTTTAAACATTTTTGAAATGTAACACACGATTTAAAAGGTGAGCAGTTCAGTGGATCACTATAAACCAAACGTCAATGGGGCTACAGCCTTGAACTGGAATGTACGTGCCCCAGGAGCACCCCCAGTTTTGGTCTCTTCCCTGACTCTGCTCATAATTTCCATGCTTTCTTTAGTAGCTTTACTACATAGCTAGGTTTCCCTATGTTGCCTGTTTTAAAATGTTGGATAGGTAGATTGTTATTTTGTGTGATTTTTGTATTTTTCGTCTTACTTTACATCTGTGTGCTGAGTCCATTTCTTCCCCATATGGTAGTAGTTAATTCATTTTCAAAGCAGCAGACGGTTCTATTGTTGGATCTTATTCTGTCCTGTCTAAGTCGTGCCTCTCCCTGTCGCCTTTTCAACATGCCACTTTGTATATTTCTTCTTCTTTACTACTTTAGAATTATATACCCCCACCCCAGTTTTACTTTCAGTGATAATTCATTCAATATTAATCTTGCTAACTTCCTAAAGCTTAGAGTATACAATTTTTCTATCCTTTTGAATTACAAAAGTGCTGCGGCCCACTTTAAGCCTATTTACTTCGACCCTGACTTGTTATTGTTACTATTTTAATTATATCATCTTTTAAGTCATAAGTCATTGGCCTTTCATTTTTTTGAGACAGGGTCTTGCTGTGTAATTCAGGCTGTTCTTGAACTCACTGTGTAGACCAGGCTGGCCTCAAATTTGAGACAGTCCTCCTGTCTCAGCCTCTAGAGTGCTAGGATTACAGGCATGTGCCACCAGGCCCAGCTGTGGTCTAATGTGTTGTCACTGTTGTCTAATGTGCTCAGTGTTCACCAAGATTGACTAACGTGTTTACCTCTTTTCAAACCTTCTTTCTTCTTGCATCTTGTGCTCTCTGACATCACTCTGCTTTTGCTGTATGTACTTTCTTCAGAATGTACTTGTGTAAGATTCTGCTCGTGATGTATTACCTGATACTTTAATTTTCCTTCTTTTAATATATTTTGATGAATATAGAATTTTGTTTGGTAGAATTTTCCTTCATCATAAAGTTGACTGTCCCATGTTTTCTGGCTTCCAGTGTTATTGCTTTTTCAAAAAATAATTTTATTGGTACATTTTAGATACACATAATGATAACATTCATCATAAAGAATTTGTGCCTGTACATGAGATATCTTGATTCTGTTTTTTTCCTTTATCTCTCCTCCTTTCAATCCCTCTTCCTTTCCTTATTCACAAATTGTTTCCATTTTCCCTTCTATTTTCACCTTTTTTTCTTGTCCCTTCCTTCACTTCCCCCTTTCCCCTCCCTGACTCCTCTTTTCATTGGAACATTTTCTTATTTCATAATATGTGTTATACATTTTGGTTCTTATTTACATTTTTGGTTTCTCACACCAGATAAACCATGATATATTTGAACATATGTGTCTGATTTATTTCACTTAAGAGTATGGTCGTTAGGTGCATCCATTTACCTAGGTATGTCACGGGTTTATCCTTCTTTATTGCAGAGTAGTACTCCATTATATTAAAAAAACCTATGTTCTTTATCCATTCATTGGTTCATAGACATTTGGGCTGTTTCTACGATTTAGCTGTTACACTAACAATGGCAAAATAGGTCACTCTGGTCAGATGTTTTTAATTGTTTTGGGAAGATACCTAGAAGGGGAAAAGCTGGGTTGAATGGAACCTCTAGTTTTAGTTTTTTGAGAAATCTCCACAGTCGTTGCACTAGAGTACACTCCCACCAAGAGTGAAGGGTTTCTTTTTCCCCACAGCCCCACAAGCAATTGTTATTGGTTGATTTCTTGATAAAAGCCATTTTTTTTTCTGGAGTGATATGGAATTTCAGTGTTAGTTTGTATCTTTTGAATGACCAGTGATGTTGAACATTTTTTCATGTATTTATTTGCTGTTTCTACTTCTTCATTTGAGAAATATCTATTAATTTCAGATGCCCTTCTTTGGATTGGGTCTTTAAATTTGGGCATTTTGATTTTTTTGAATTCTTTGTATATCCTAGATATTAGTCCTTTGTCTCAGGAACAGCTGGCCAAATTTTTTTCCTACTCTGTGTGTGATTTCTTTGCTGTGTTGGTGGTTTCTCTTGCTGTGAAAATGCTTTTTAATAAGATGAGATCCCAGTTGTAGATCCTTTGTGATCATTGCTCTGTTCATATAGTTTTTGCCTACACGTATGTCTTCAACAGTTCTGCCTATTCTATTGTCCAGGAAGTTTTATTATTTGTGTTTTAATACTTAGATCTTTGATCAATTTTGAGTTTAGTGCATAGTGAGAGATTGGTCTAGTTTTAGTCTTTGGCATGTGCGAAGCCAGTTTTTCCAGCACCATTTATTAAAGAGGCTTTCTTTCAGTGAAGGTGTTTGGCCCCTTTGTCAGAGAGAAAGTGGGTGACGGCTGGGGATGCAGCTCAGTGGCACCTCACCTACCCTGCAAGCAGAAGGTCCTGAGTTCAATCCCCTGCACCAAACAACAACAACAACAACAACAACACCCAAAAAATCAACAACAACAAAAAAAAGAAAAGATGGTAGAGTGTGTATTTGGGGTTTTCCCTGCATCTTCTATTCTGTTCCATTGATCCTTGGGTCCTTTTTTTTTTTTTTTTTTTTTGCCAGTACCATACTATTTTTATTTCTGTAACTTTTAGTATAATTTTAAGTGAAGGATTGTGATGCCTCCTCCTGCCTTGCACTTGTTGTCCAGAATTTCTTTTGTTATTCTAGGACTCTTCTGGTTCCAAATGAATTCTAGGATTGTTTTTTCTAGTTCTGTGAGGTATGCTATTGGCAGTTTGATTGAGATTACCTTAAACATGTATAACAGCTTTGGGAATATGGCCTTTTAAAAAATTTGGTACTGGGGATCAAACTCATGTCCTTGTGATTTCTTTCAAGGCAGGCATGGCCATTCTTACTCTTGATTCTTCCTAACCAAGAATGGGGTTATCTTTCCTTTTTCTGATATCCTTTTCAATCTTTTTCAGAGTACTGTAGTTTTCAAGATAAAGGTCTTTTACTTCTTTTGTTAGATTGATTCCTAAGTATTTCATTTTTTTTGGATGCTCTTGTGTAAGGTGTTGTTTCCCTAATTTCTCTCTCAGTGAGTTTGTTATTTGTGTACCAGAATGCTATTGATGTTTGAGTGCTAAGTTTGTTTCCAGCTATGCTACTGAATTTGGTTATCTAGAAGTCTTTTGGAGAAGTTTTGGGGTCTTCTATGTAGAGGATCATGTCAGCTGCAAATAATGATAATTTAAATTCTTCCTTTCCTATCCTTATTGCTTTTTCATCTTTCTCTTGTCTAATTGCTCTGGCTATTTCCAGAATTATATTGAATAAGAATGGTGACAGTGGACATCTTTGTCTTGTTCCTAATTTTTGAAAGAAAGCTTTCAATTTTTGTCATTTAGTATGGTGGCTATTTGTCATATGTAGTTTTTATCAAATTTAAAGAACATCTATTCCAATTTTTAGTATGTTTTTATCATGAATGGGTGTTGGACTTTCTCAGATGTTTTTTATGCATCTGTTGAGATGGTCATGTGATTTTTGTCTTTGGCTCTATTAACATGGTGTATTACATTTATTGATTTGCATATGTTTAAACATCCCTGCATCCCTGGGATGAATCCTACTTGTTCATGGTGTATAACCTTCTTGATGATTTTCTCCTTTCTGTTTGTTAGTATTTTATTGAAGATTTTTGCATCTACGTTCATTTAGGAGAGTGGCCTGAAATTCTCTTTTTTGATTGCATCTTTCTCTGGTTTTGGTATCAGGATAATGCTTGCTTCCAGGAATGAGTTTAGGAGTATTGTCCCTTTCAATTTCATTAATGAGTTTGAGGAGTAGGGGCATTAGATCTCTTCTAAACTTCTTGTAGAATTTGGCAGTGAATCTGTCAAGACCATGGCATTTCTTTGTTGGTAGTTTTTAATTTTTATCTTCAATTTCATTGATTGATGGGTTATTTAAAATCTTTATATCATCTTGATGCAGCTTTGGTAATTCACATATATCTAGGAATCAAAATTTCTGGTGAATTAAGACCATTTACATTGATGGTTATAACTGATATGTATTGACTTATCCTTGTCATGTTATTTTCCTGTTGTTGGTTCCCTTTCTTTCCTCTCTGTTTAATTATTTGCCTTGCTTGGCAGATTCATTCTGTTGGGGCTCATGCAGTTGTAGTCTTTATGATCTCTTTTTAGAATGTCCTTCAGAAAATTTTGGAGTGCTGATTTGGTGGTCATGAATTTTTTCAGGCGTTCTTTGTACTGGAAGTACCTTATTTCTCCATCAATTTTGAAAGATAGTTTTTTGAAGTACATCAATCTGGACTGGAGGTTAATTTCTTTTAGGGCTTATATACTTCACTCCAAATTCTCCTTGTGTTAAAGGTTTGTGATGAGAAGTCTGCTACGATTCTGATGGGCTTTGTTTTGTAAGTGATTTCTTTCTTTTCTCTACCAGCTTTTAATACTCTGTTCTTCTGTTGAATTCCTGGAGTTCTGACTGTTTTATGCCTTGGGGTAGATATTTTTTTGATCATGGATATTTTGAATTCTGTATGCCTTATTTATCTGTCTAATTATTGTTCCCTGTTTGGGAAGTATTCTGTCATTATTTCTGTGAATAGGCTTTTAAAGTCATTTGTGCTATTCTCCTTTTTTCATGGACTTTGATCAATCTTATGTTGTTTTTCTTTGCATGATCTAGAAGCTACTGGATTGATTTTTTGTGGTCATTTCCTATTTTTGAGAAATCCTTCTTTTCTTCATCACTAATAGCAATCCTATCTTCTAGATATGATATTCTGCTGTGTATACTTTCAATAGAATTTTTAATCTGCTGGATATTGAATATGTT